TAAGCAAGAGGTGCCTTGAGGGCAAAGACCAGCTTTAGTCTCCTTTGGGCCCCTTTTGGCCCTGCTGGGAAGGAAAGGAACATGTCTTGAGAGGTTCAGTGTAATAAAGGATGAAAAGGATGGTATCATCTCTGCCCCTGCCCACTGTGGAGATGCTACTGAAATGCTTGTGGCTGGGAGAAGGATAGAAGGCTAAAGGCAGGCTGGTGTTCATAGATTCTTGAGGAGGACGGTTAGATGCTTTGTGTTAATTCCTCAAGGAAGTCTTCTTTGGGGGCTATCTTAGGGAGCTCCAGCATTAAGCCTTGCTGTCTTGTCTTCTGTGTAGCATCATATGGTCTTGAGATACTAGCTTGGGCTTTGGATATTCATGGTTCAAAACTTGACTTTAGAGTTTAGAGTTCCTGATTGGGCTCACAGAACATCTCATAGGTGTTTTAAGAAGGCATTTGGAGTATAGACAGAAGAGGATTGCTACCTGTCAGAGGCTGTGGGTGCATCCTATCTGTTGGCATGGAAGTGAGAGGGTGGAGTTGTTGGCTCTCTCTCAATAGATTGATTCCCTTGGACACTGAAAGCTTTGGTTCAGTTTGGTTCTGTTGCATCTTCAAGGAGGGACACATTTTTTTTTTCTTCTTCTTGCTGCTGCTCAGCTTCCTCTCCTCCCTGCGATTGCCTTTGACATAGACTTCCGCTGCCAAAGCTAATTGTGAGGCCTGATCGGTGAATGAAGGCAAAGGCAGTTCCCATGACAACCGCAAAGAGTTTCCAATATAGGGGATGATGTATGTGTGATGGGCTGCAATTACTTGGGTGGAAATGGATGCGTGGACACCGGGGACTTCAAACATAGGCTCTGAAGGTGGAGTGGGTGTTGGGTTTCTTTAGCAGGATCCTTTGTGTGATCAAAAGGGAAGGAGGTCACAGACTTTTCTCACAGTTGATTCCAAGTGTGTTCGGTGGGTGGAATGTTGGGCAAAAACGCACAGGAGCTTTGGGCAGGCAGGACTCCAGCCATTGTGATTGGGGAGGCAGGACACACATACACAGGTGTCAAATGAGAAATGTTAGAAGTGATATACACCTGTAGAAAGCTGGGTTAGCCAGAGGTGGCTTCCTGGAGAAATCTTGTAGAGACCTCATTCAGGACACAGCCAAAACAGGACAAGATGAGAAGCCTGTCTGCCTCTATCTTCTGCTAGCTGTAAGTGAAGTAGGTAAATTTGAACATCATAGTGCTAATCATAGTGGTCCTTGAATTGTACCACCCTAAGTGAGGAGATACTAAACTTAGTGCTCTTCGATCAGTGTGGCCTTGGGCTAGATGCTAACCCTCTCTATATCCCAGTTTCTCCAGCTATAAAATGGGCCTGAATAGTTCTTGTTGCATTGGCTTGTTTTAATGTTTAAATAAGATACTGTATGCAATGCTTTCAGAAAGAGAGCCCTCCAACCATGTGTCCAGATGTGTTCTCAGTCCCTGGTCTTTATCTGTGTGAAGTCTATTCACCTTTCCCCAGTGGAAGGGCTGCGGTCCTATCCTTGCTGGGCATGCAGTGGATTGCAGTGGAGGATGGGAGTGGGATCTATGTGGAGGAGCCTCAAGTGCCTCTACAAATATAGGGGGCACAGAGTTGGGAGGAGGTCAAGAAAGGAGTAAAAAGTCCTGGATGGAGGCTGAGTGGCCTTGGCATGCATTTCTCTCAAGTTTTGGCATTCCAAGGTGCCTCAGAAGAGGAAGGAGGCCAGGATGGGATGAGAATGGTAGCAGGTAGACTACCTTGTAGATGATAATCTCCTTTGGGGTCGCCAAGGGCTGCTGGAGAGGGTAGGGCTGTGTTAGCATAGTATAGGGAGATAAATCAGGAACTTGGCTCCATGGTTCTTTTTTTTTTTTTTTTGGTCAGTTGTGGGGCTTGAACGCTGGGCCTGGGCGCTGTCCCTATATTCTTCAGCTCAAGGTGAGCGCTCTACCACTTGAGCCACAGCGCCACTTCCCGTTTTCGAGTGGTTTATTGAAGGCAAGAGTCTCACGGACTTTCCTGCCGGGGCTGTCTTTGAACCCAGATCCTCAGATCTCAGCCTCCTGAGTACCTAGGATTACAGGTGTGAGCCACCAGCGCCCGGCCGGTTCCATGGTTCTTATCGGCAGATGAGGAAGGCCTCTATTGGTTGGATAAGTCTGGGATTTAGCTGTAGCTCAGCTGTGGCAGGTCTTGCCTCTTAGGAGTACATGTCTCCTTAGCTCTTTGGGGACCTCAATGAGAAGACTGATTAGGAGAGTAGTCTCCCCACCTAGGTGTCCAGAACCTTGCTGCTTCATGTAGAAACTGAGCTAAGAATGTTCTAGCTTTGTGCAGAGCCTAGAAGAGTGGGGAAGACAGACTGTTGAGTAAATAATTGTACATGACCAGTGTCCTAGAAGAGGTGCTCTATAAGAACTCTGTAGGAGTCTGTGATGTGTAGGGAGGCTCAATGACTGAAAAATTGGCAGAGAGGAAGCACTATTTAGATTGAACCTCATGCCACATCTGCTTGCTTGGGGGGCAGGGGGCTGGGGAAGGGGAGGGCTCCAAGCAGAAGCACAGGGAATTCTCCCAGGTCTGAAAGAGAATCTAAAAGGAAATGATAGGTATCTCCCTGTCTCCCTGGGACTGGCAGAGAGGAGGGATTAGAGGATTGCAGTGGGAAAGGACTAGGTTTGAATTTCAGCCGCCTCTCACCAGCTGTGTTGACAGGCAAGTAACTTAAAATCCCTATATCTCTTGTTCTCCCATGAGAAACAAGGTTGTGTGTGGAGTAAGTCAAATAAGATGATACTGCAATGAGGTTGGCATAGGGCCTGGTATGTTAGCAGGGGCTTGATAAACTGGCAGTGGTAGAAGCCACAGTATTCATTGGTACTGTCCAAGCAGTAGTAGGCTCTCTTTTCTGGGTGTAGGGAAGCAAGGTAGCTTATATCACAGCAGTTTGGGGGGGCCAGAATAAAGGAGGGACTTTACCCAGCCTTATTCTTTTATCACCTGCCTCCTTCCCTGACCTGGGAGGAGACTGGTGGAACTGACCTTTGTCCCCAAGGGGAGGCAGGTGTGGGCCCCAGTGTAGCCAGAAGCCTCCTCACCTGAGGCCAGCTTTGCTGTCTGTCTCTACCAAAGTAGCTTATCCTGTTCTAAGTGTTCTAAGTACTCCCTGAGGCCCTGGGGAGGAAAGCAATTAGGCATCTGTAAGGGAGTGGGTAAGAGAGCGAATCACTAGATCAGGAGGAGTGCTCACGCATCCCAAGTCCTATGAGTCACTTCTCTCTGGCCTCAGCTTACTCATCTGTGAGAATGAGAGGTAGCACCCAGTGAGCTCGTCCACAAATGCCAAGTGCCAGTAGCAAGCAGCACCCACAGTGGGGCAGGCAATATACTGCGTTGTTTCTTGGGAGCCCTGACAGCTGTGTGAAGTAGCCGATAGTTCATTCTTCAGATGAGCAAGGTGAGGCTTACAGAGGTAAGTTATCACTTAGCCAGGTAATAGTGGAGCTGTGAACCGAACTTGAATTTGTGGGTGTCAGACAGTGAGAGTTCTGGGGTGTTCAGCTAAGATATGCCCAGGCATGCCTTAGACTCAAATCTAGGAGTGGACTGTAGAACCTTTCTCTACCCTGTTGTTGCTCTTCAGGTGTCTGCCCTTTAGTCTCCTGTGTGTTGCAGCCTTCGAAGGCTTAGACTCTAAGAACTGGAAGGGAAGAGATTTTGAGGTCTGAGCTGCTCCCCCTCCTCTGTCTCTCTACTGATGGGAAGCCCTGAAGTCTGGGACCAGTAAAGTCTTGGGAAGGGCACCTCCTGCAGCCTCTGGAAGAGGAGAAATCGTGGTGGGGTGGGGTGAGGGCATGTTTTAAGTACCAGGTGTGAGTGATCCTGGATGTGGGGATGCAGATGCAAGGAGCCGACTTGGGGAGGTTTGAAGCACAGGCAGTGTGGACACCCTGTTTTCTAAGGTGGGTGCAGGAGGGTTAGGAGTAAAACTGCAAAAACTTCAAAACGAGACAGACCCGGGTTGGAGGCCACTGGGTTCTAGCTGTGTCACCTTGGGTAATTTATGTCTTGAGTTTTCTCATCTGTGAAACAGGGTAAAGGTTCTCACTGCCTCCCTCTGCTTTTTTTTTTTTCCTCCTCCTTGGAGGAGTGGAGCGATTGAGAGAGCCTCAAACTCATGTCTCCGTGGCTGCCAGGGTGAGGGTGGGGCGGGGCGGAGTGGGGCGGGGAGTTGGAAGGGGCCGAGACCCACCCGCCGGTGCCCTACCCCAGGTGCAATCTTTGACCCTGGCGGGGTAGGGGACGCCTGTGTACTACCTTCGGGTATCCTCGAGAGGAGGCAGAGTGTGCCCGGAGGCTCCAGCCTGCCTGGGAGCCGGGACAGGCCTGAGAAGCAGCTCGAGCAGCTCAGCTGCACCCTCGGGGGTGGCCCCGGCCTGCGGCTGGGCAGGTCCACCGGTGGAGGCCGGGCTGGCCGCGGGATTGGCTGGCGCGCGCGCCGCCCCCTCGCACACCAGCCGGGCGGAGGGGAGAGGAGGCGAGAGGAGGAGGAGAGGGGAGGGGAGAGGAGGGGAGCGCAGCCGGCAGCTGGCCGCCGCCTCCTCTGCAGTGCCTCCCTCTGTGCGCTCCCTCCGGCCCGGGGATAATGGGAGGCCCGGCGGCGGCCGACGCACCGGAGAAGGCCGGCCGAGGTAGAGCGCGCAGGGCCTGGAGGGCCGGTCAGGCTGGACCTAGACGGGGTGGGCAGAGCCTTCTTGGGTTTCGGAAGGATTGAAAAAGGAAAACAAAACAGTGGGAGCGAATAGCCGGTCTGCGAGGTCTGGGCGGCAGCTGGAGACAGGAAGATGGTCCCTGCTAGGCTTTCTTCCCGAGGCCCCTTCCCTTCCCGTGTCTTCCTTCCCCTTCAGTGCGCTGCAGAAGGACTTTGCTGCTTTCCTGGCACCAGCCTGGCTCATCCGTCTCTGGCTTCTTTTGCAGGTGGAAATAAAGGCTGGTGAAGGAACGGGGCCGTGGACACAAGGGGCGGTTCTCAAGGTACCTTGTGTGTGTGTGTGTGTGTGTGTGTGTGTGTGTGTGTGTGTGTGTGTGTGTTGGGGGAAGTGTTCGACTGAATTGGATAAAAATAAAGGGTCTCCTCTGGTGATCCCTTAATCTCCCACTGTGTGTGTAGCAGCAGCTGAGGGGGAGGGGCAGCGCGAGTGTGGGCGGCCAATGAATTCTCAGGCCTGTGTGGGTTTTGTTTGGATTCTTTTTGCTTTCTCAGCTGGATGGTTTGGGTGCAGTTGGGGTTTGGTTTGTCGAACTGTTTTTTTTTTTTTTTTTTAAGAGATGCAACCCACTCCCCACCTCTCTGCCTCTGGAAATCTCTCGAGAATGTCCCTGGCACTGTTGGTTTGCATCCACTCTGCAGAAATCCCTGGGGGGGGGTGACGGTAAGGGGAAGGAGGGAATTATCCTCCTGAGTCTGAAGCTGATAGGGTGTCATTAGTCATGCTGCTGTCACCATGGAGATGGCTGGAGATGAGAGGAGGTGGTGGGGGTGAGGATTATTTTGGGTAGGGTGGGGGCTGATGCAACATTATGGCTTGGAAAGCCAGCGGGTGTCTGCTGTTAGTCTGGTGCTGCTTAGTGTCTGGGGGACCAGGAAGGAAGTGTTTCCAGGTGTGTAGGAAGCAGAGAAGGGGGCATTGAGATGCTCCAGGTGATTGGTTGCCTGAGGGCAGGAGGGGGTGATTGGGGTATTTGGGGCAGGGGAATGGCCAGTCTAGCAGAGTATGTCATTACTAGGACACCATGATAATCCTCCTAGGTTGGCACAGATCAGTAGGTTTCCTTGGGCTTTGCTCCTGTTTGGGAGGTTGAAGACCTGCTGTGAGTTTAGGATTACTCAGCAATATCCTCTGCTGGTCCAGAGTGGAGGAAAAAGTAGGGGGCAGCTCTGTGTTGCTGTCTCTTAAGATCATAGAGACTGGGAGAGGGAGTATGGGGACAGGTGGGCAGGGACAGTGGGACTCTTCCTAGTGGAGAGGAAGGGAGGAGGAGAGCTTGGTTGTGTGGGTATCAGGTGGGTGAGATGCCAGTGTTCCCTCATGCTCTTAGTTTCTTCTCTCTGAAAGTCCTCCTCCTGCTTCCTGGGAAAGCTGTGGGAAGCTTCATGGAGGTGCTAAAACTGGCACCCTGCCATCTCACAACATTGGTAGGGAGGGGCTGACTCTCTTCCCCATATGCCATGGGGGTTCCTGAGTGAAGCTGAGGCTGCAGGGTAGATCAAGAGGCCAGGGTGGTTCCCTGGACTCATCCCAGAGAATCTGAGAGTAGGAAGTGCTTGGGGGAGGGAATGAATTCTGCTTCTGAAGCTTTCTGGAGAATGGAGATGAGCCAGGTAGCACTCGCTCTCCAGGGGCGCTAGCATGTCTTCGTGAGGCTGAGAGTAGTGGGATGAGACTGGGAGGCCCTGAGGCAAGAAGAGGGTGGTGTGTACTGATGATGCCATGGGTGTGGAGAACTGTGAGCTTACCACTCTCCTTGCACCTTTACTGAGCACAATCCCTAGGTTCCACCTCCACTTGGCTACCCACTGTTGACTTGGGGAGTTTTAGGCAACCCATGCCCTGTTTTAATAGCCACTGGAGATGTGGAGATCATTGAGTGGCCTTGCTCTGCCCCAGCCCAGGGAAAGCAGGACAAGAGGATATGGACAGATGGACTCACGGAGGAGGCATGTCTCTCCTTCCAATGTATTTCCAGCCTTGTCATCCTGAACTTCCTCTGCTGAGAGAGGAGACTGCTGGCAGGTCTGTTTACTCTCCAAAGCACCCCACCTGCATGCATGCATGCCTGCGGTGCTGCTGGTTCTCCTTGGCAGACCTGCTTCCCTTCTGTTCTTTGCCAGTGTATTCCCTAGTTCTCTGGCCAGTGTTCCTCTGGCCTGGAATGATGAGACCAGTTCTGCAGATCTGCTAGAGGTTTCTATTCTCATTCTAGGTCTATGAAGTTACGGACCTGTGGCAGGGGCTACTTTAAAACCCAGAGGCTTGCCTGTAATCCTAGCTACTCAGAAGGTCAAAATCTGAGGATTACTGCTTGAAGCCAGCCCAGACAGCAAAGTTTGTGAGGCTCTTATTTCCAATTAACCACAAAAAAAAAAAAAGCCAGAAGTAGAGCTGTGGCTCATGTGGTAGAGTACAGAGACAGTACCCGAGGCCTCGAGTTCAAGCCCCAGGACCAGCACCCCAAAAATTTGAGAGGAAACCCTTCAAATAGTTCTTTCCCTTCCCTTTTCTCAGAGATGGCTATGTTCTTTCAGTTCTGATATTGTATCTGCCTGTTTTTATTGTTAAGTTGTCTGAGAATCTGTAGCTTTATCTCAGCCTGAGCACTGCCAGCACTTAGGTCTGAGTGCTGCCAGTTCCTAGTTCTGCCTTCTCCCACATAGGTTTTCTTGGGTGGCAAGTGGGAATGATATCCTACATACCCTTCCATCATTAGGTTGTAGAATAAAGAAGAAGGGTGAGCTGTATAAGCTTGTTCTGAGATCACTGTGTGTTGTGTGTGCCACAGTCTGTGGTCCCACGCAATGGAAGTAAGCCTTTTGCATGAATGAAGCCAGAAAGAATATGCATGTGTGCTGTTTGCCAAGTGTTGCCAGATCTTTAGGAGTAGCCTGATATATGGGTGTACACAGTGCCTGGAACAGGCACAGAATTGAATTTGTTGAATACACATTGTCATTTTATTGTCTAGTGTGCTTTATGTGTACCCATGACATCCCAGCAAGCATGTCATATAGTGTACACTGTCGTTGCCTCCCTCCCCTTGGCAGTCTGGACAGGAGCAAGTGCCCAGAGCAGCAGGCCACCCTGTTTTTGGGCTCCCACACAGCTCCCACGCTCTGCCCCATGGGAACACTCTACTGCACTGGCTGAGGATGTCTGGAAACTATTTTGGGATTGTGCCCAGGATCTCTGCCTTCTGTCTCTCCTTTTGACCATAGCAGAAATGCCTTGTTGTCAAGAATCTGTGATCCCCAACTTTTTACCCACTGTATATCACTCCTGCTAGTTCTTTCTTGGTTTTTCTTCCAGCACTCTTCAAGAATCTAGGAGGATCCCATTTACAAGCAATGAACTTGGAGATAGGGAAGCAAGTAAGCCTATCAGGCTAGAGCAGGCTAGGGAATGAACTAAGAGGATTTCAGAGTTGAATATAATGATGGAGAAAGAGAGGGCTTTCCTGTGCATGATAAGGACTGGAGTTAAATCCTATAATTTACCTCTGCCTCCTTGGTGACCCCAACCTTTTTTTGAATGTCAAAGAAGAGGACTTGGCAAGAGTGAGCTGAAGGGAGAGCTGTCTGTCCATGATAGTATAGGAACCTAGGGCTGCATTCAGCGACCACCATGATGGCCTGATGAGGAAGAGCATGAGTGCTGAGTTCCCTCCAGCTACAGATGGACATATCTGCTAGAAATAGGCTTTGTGGTCTTGCCAAGTCCCCTCCCATACCCTGGAAGCTGTAGCAAATGGCTTGGCTGGCTAGGGGGTAGAGAAGGACAGAGATTGTGGGGAGGTGCTTTGATTTGGCTCAGCTTTTGGGTCTCCCAATCCTCTTAAATCCTTACTTTCCCACTCCTAACCTCCTGGGCTTTGGCCTCATTTCCTCTCACACCCAGACATCTGGCAGTCACTTGAGGACTCCCCCTTGTTCCCAGCATCTTTGCAGCTTCTGAGAAGGAGGTGGCTTTCTTTGGATTAGTTTAGGAAGCCTTTAAACAAACAGACAGCAATGATTCGGTTGATTAAAACATATAGATTATTGTGGTGATGAGGACCAGGACCCCATCCTCATCTTCTTTATCTTCTTTCTTTGTCCCTTTGTCTTTCAACATTTGCTGATCATTTACCACATTTCCAGTTCAGTAGTAGATGCAGGAAAAAATGCAGAAATCATTCTTCAAACCTCATAGAGACATTGGCTAAATTACTTAAAATCAGAACTCCTAAGTGGGGAATCAGCATTACCAGATTTTATTTTCATGCAATAAATGCCTTTGATCTTACCTTGTGTGTTTGGGGCAGGCAAAATACCTATATATACCCAGCTTTTTACCTTTGTTTTCTCTGGTCCAGTGACCCTCAAGGGACTTTGAAGGACAAATCAACATGCCAACCTTGTTTTCAGTATGTTGGTGTTTCTGGGATCTAGTGATGACAGGTTTGGGTAGTGTTTTAGAAATGGACTAGCTGAGAAGGGAGTTTAATTTTGAAAGCAGTGTTGGATTTAGATATGTTAAGTTTGAGATCCAGAGAAAATGGAAATACTATATCTATGCTGTTTACCTGAGTCTGAAATTGTTTTCAGCATAATAAGATTGTGGCTTTTGTCAGACATTGTCTTCTCAGACAATCTCAGCTGAAGCTGAGATTGGAAGGATCAACCAGAGTAGAATTTATTTTTGTGAGACTCCATCTCAATGCAGAGAAGCTGAGCCACAATGGTGTCTATCAGGAATCACTGCTACAAGGCCCTGAGTTCAAACCCCAGTACTGAAAAAAGTATGGGTCATATTGCCAGCCGCTATTTTTTCTGGGGGGTGGGTGGGTGGGAAGGGGTGGTTTCCAGTGAGAAACACTGGCTAAGAAAAGGTGAAAAGCACAGTGTGTAATCTCTTTCCTTTCTGTTTCCTCCTGTGCTACTACTATGCTTGGACTTTGTCATTAGTCAAGGGAAGTCACTACATCCATGGACTTTTAAGTTTCCTCGGTAAAGTGAAAGGGTGTTGCCTTCCAAAATTAGCTTTATTCAAACTAAACCTGGGAAAGGACCAGTCCTTTTTTGTTTTTGCTTTTAATTTCCAAAACACAGTTTATATAAAACTAGCTCACACTTTGCAGCAGGTGTAGCTAACCTCTGATGGTCAGTACTATCCAAATTAGCCTATGGGCCATCCAACCAGGCAGGACCAGTGATCATGCCCTTAGATGTCACGCTTGCTTCATATTGCTGTAAAGATTTCAGACGGTTCTGTGTTGTG